GCCAGGTAACCCATGGAGAGAGACAATCAGCACAAGCTAGGGTCACTTCTTCAGACAGACTTTCAGATTTTCCACCCACTGCCCCTCTGGCTAAGGGGACTAGGTTTGCATTTCCCCTTTGGAAGTTCATAGGTCTGTGGGGAGGGAGCTGATGGGAATAGTAGTTTCCTGTTTAACACATGCATCACAATACACACATTGACGAAATCTAAAGTAATAAACAAAAAGACAAACCCCACCCAGCCACCTCAGTCATAACCCTGGTTTCTGCTAAATGATAAAGAACTCTTTGGAAGCATCCTTCATAGCATGCTTGGTCTACCCTGACCAGAATACGTTTCATTAGAACATTTGAAACTGAGAAATGCATGGCAACATCAGTTTTGCCACCTGTTGCTCTAGTGATTTGGGGTACCTTTCATGATGAAAGGCTGGTGACTCATGAATTTTCCCTTATTCAAAGGGAAGCCAGTAAGATGGCCATATTTTCCTACAGGTCATCTGCATGTGGAAGTGAGGCTGCCCTTAATAAAGGCGGTAGCCACCTTCCATTGTTTTCAATGAGACTGAAGCCATGAGCTAGTCTCATTTGGAAAAGAGCACTTTCTCCTTCCAAATTGAAAAGGAGTACTTGTGGCACCTTAGAGACTAACCAATTTATTTGAGCATGCTCAAATAAATTGGTTAGTCTCTAAGGTGCCACAAGTACTCCTTTTCTTTTTGCGAATACAGATTAACACGGCTGTTCCTCTGAATCCTTCCAAATTAGAATTCTTTGTTTCATCCAAAGTTTATGAAGCTCCACTAAATATTATTTTGGTATCAGTGAAACAAAAACAAGGTGGGTGAATTCTCATGCCAGAAAAAGCATATTCAAAGGAACCAGGGATAGTGAGAAGTCTGCTGTTTTGATGAGACCATTGCAGGACTGAGATTTCTGATGTGTAGTACAACTGGTTGAAAACTTTTTGTTCAAACATTTGATAGAAAATTGTTTTTCAGCTAAATGGAAATTTTTACAAAAATCTATTTTCACTGAAAAATAGTTTAAGTTTTTACACACACAAAATTTAAAAGGTTTGCTCTCCTGACCAGCTCTAATTCACAGATGCAATGTAATATGTGTAACCCTTCTGCCAGGTGGAGCCAGCAGCAACAAGGGCTGGATTCAGTATCCAGGGGTTCCTTTTTAACAATACAACACAAAACCAGCTCAAGCCCCAACCCAGTGACCTAGGACAATTACAGACCACCCCCTGGGTGCCTCTAAGAGGCAATACTTTCCCACTCACAAGCAGAGTTTGAGTGTAGCAAAAACTTTTAATAAAAGGCAGGAAGTCACTCAGAAATAATTTGGGAAAACACCACAACTAGGGTTCACAAACATAAGACCCACCCCCAAGTCCTTCTCCCCTCAGGTTCTTAAGTCCAGTAACCCAAAACTCCCTTTAATGTGCTCATCCCTTCTCTGTACCCCATTCACAGTTGCTGTCCTTAGCCAGTGCAGCCTCAGAGGTTCGTCCACACAGTTCACCTCCCACCCTGTGTGGAGGAGGTGGTGGTAAGGAGGTACCTTACACGCTCCACTGCTCACGCACTCGTTTGTCACCCCAACAGCTGATTGCCGCAGCTGCTTGTTGCTCCTTTCCACCAGCCACCCACTTGCCAAGATATCTGCAGCTCCCCCCTCCTCCCTTAACACAGCTCTCAGTGATTTCAGCTATTAGTGGGGGAACCTCACTGCTGGTGAACGCTGTCTTAAAGTAGGTCTAATACTTAGACCTAGGTATCAGTGATTTCAGCTCTGCAGTGTGTAACAAGACTCTCAATTGAGTCTAAATTAGCTCTTTTATTATACTATAGAGAGAGGGTCAAACAGTATCTAGAATCCTTGAACAGGGCCCACACCACCAGGTACAAGTACCTGTCCTCATCCTCTCTAAACTCATTGGACTTTGGAACCCATGTCCCTTGCCTAGTGAGTGCCATTGAGTTGAGGGTGAGTCCCTCCATCGGGGTATGCGAGGTACAGTTTTGCTGCCCTCGGTTCACACAACAAGGATAACAATCCTTTATTACTCCTGGCTCAATAACACGAAGACTGGGGATCCAACACCAGCCACAGGTGATCATTTGGGCAAGCAATCCCATCATGCTGAGCAGGTAGGCAAGGTGGGTGTATCCATGCAAATGAGATCAGCTCCTGAAGTCTTTTTCCACAGCTCACCACTAGATGTCAGGGGAGAGCTCATTCAGACTCTGCTTACATCTGGATTGATTCGTATTGGTTGCAAGTGCATATGTGCATGCACGCTGTCTGGGACAAAGAGGAGTCATAAACTTAGGACTTGCTTGAAGTTGGTGAAATCACGGGTTATAGAAATATTTAAAAAATTGCCTCATGAGGCAATGAAAAGCAGACAATGTCACAGATTTACATAAAACACAGTAGATCTGAGACACAAGAGTAAAAACATACACCTCTACCCCGATATAACGCGACCCGATATAACATGAATTCAGCTATAACGTGGTAAAGCAGCCCTCTGGGGGGGAGGGGCTGCATGCTCCGATGGATCAGCGTGTCAGGCTCTGACATGCTGCTCTGAGCAGCGTGTTAAGGGTGCCGGGCTGGGGCTGAGGGGTTGAATAAGGGGCAGAGGGTCTCGGGGTGTGGTCAGGACACAGGGAGCAGGGGGGTTGAGTAGGGGGTGGGATCCTGGGGCTGATTAGGGTTGGGGGGGTCTCTGGAGGGGGCGGTCAGGGGACAAGGAGCAGGGAGGCCTAGATAGGGGGTGGGGTCTTGGGAGGGGAGGTTAGGGGCAGGGGGGTCTCTGGATGGGTTAGTCAGGGGACAAGGAGTGGGACAAGGAGGGAGGTACTGCATACTCCGTGTTAGTGCTAACAAAAATGATTTGCTGACTATTAATACTGGAAATGCTCGAGGCCAAAGCAAGTTCAATATAATTGGTTTCACCTATAACGCGGTAAGATTTTTTGGCTCCCGAGGACCACGTTATATCGGGGTAGCGGTGTACTTAGAAAATTACGTCCTATTGAAAAATAATGCTATTCATATGAAACCATGGATACATAATATAAATCTGAATTTATATTATAAAGTTTGTATTGCATTAAAGTATGCAATGTATTAGTGCAAATAACAAAGCCGTTTCCCCCATCAGGTGACACCACAATTTCAGTTGGAAAAGCCTCTCTGACTTCACATAACTTAGTAGCTTTCCCTGCTAAACTAATGTGGTGAGCTAGCATAGCATGAAGAAGTTAAGTATCTGTGAAGTTCATGGACTGGTGAAGAGGGAGGACCAATTTGCCAGCATCTGAATTACTGACAGACTGAATGACCCATGTCTAGGCTTGTCATGTTATTTTACATTACAAATTGTAACATGATCCAATGGAACATAACTTGACATAACTTAAAAAAAAAATTACTTCTGTAGTAGATTGAGAGATTTTTCAAGGTTACAAGTGTCTGATTGATCTGCAAAAGCTCAATAACAACAACTACAGTGGCCTTTAGCTGGCGCTTATTGGTAAGGCTAAGAAGTCAACCATTAGCCTTAACATCACTCAGCATTAAGTTTTCTGATACTTACCTGTGCAACTACATCTCCCAGTCTACCCAAATTATAAATCTTAGTTCTTACTGTGACAGCACTTTCCCATATTCACTATGTTTCCAATTTCCATTCCAGTTCCATTAGCTTTGTGTCACACTTATTCATGGTGCATGGAGGGAGGGAGCCTTAAATACAAGACAAGGGTAACTATGTTATTTAAATTTTTTAGAAAAAGAAATGTAGCCGTTTTTCCTCCTGCAAAATCCCTCTCCATTCTACTTGGACCACAGAAAATACTTTTTTTTGCTTTGCACTCTTACTCTGTGGTGGATTGGAAAAATAATAAAGTGGTTCATTTAGGCAGGCACAGAGGGGAGCACAGGCTTCCAAGGTCAATGCTATACATTCATCAGATCTCAGTGTATTTTGAGGGACTTTTTAAACCCCTTACAATTTAAAAACTGAAAATTGGCCAGCAGTTACTCTTAATATGGCCTAATTACTTGGCTGTTTGGAAAACTAAAACCCAACTGAGCTGATGAAGTTTATAGTCAGCTCCTGTGCGTGGGTTACATCTTTTTTCACCTTAGAAGTTTCATTAGAAGTTTCAACACATGGATTCAAGGTCTTTCCCTTCTTGATAAATACATACAAAACCACTAGTGTCAATCAGAGTCATGCATGTATGACAGGGAGAACAGGTCTTTTAGTTATACATGTCTACCAGACACTGGCATCCCTAGATTGATTCAATGATTTGCAAAGATTTACAATGTATATTAGATTCATGTATATGCTATTTGAAAAGAGAGTAACAAAACACACATTAACTTAATAGGCTTTGGAGCATTTATGCTCTGATGTCTAAATTACAGTCAAAGGGAAAAAAGGACTAAAATAATGCATATGCATCACTATGCATTTACTCATTTCTAACTAGCATGGTTTAGTCTGTCATTTACCATTCAGTGTTGTTGTAGCCATATTGGTCCCAGAATATTAAACACAAAAGGCGGGTGAGCCCTTATTGGTCCAGCTTCTGTTGGTGAGAGAGACAAGCTTCTGAGCGTACACAGAGCTCTTCTTCAGTTCCTGAGGAAGAGCTCTCTGTGTAAGTTCGAAAGCTTGTCTGTCTCACGAACAGAAGTTGGTCCAAGAAAAAAATATTGCCTCATGCACCTTGTCTATCTACCATACAGACATTTTCATCCATCACTTTTCCTTTCATACACCTATTATATAAAAGGAAATTAACATAAAATAATGTAATATTTAGGAATGTGATTTTAAAAAAATGTTGAAATTGGACTATCACTTTATCCCAGCTCACTATTTTCACACAATAATTTTAATGCACGGTTTATATATATCAGTGTGTGCACAAATTGTGCATATAGTCTATAAAAATAAGTTTACCTCAGGCTTGTTGCTGACAGAGTTTTGTTGTAAAAACTTTTGATGAATAGACAGCATCTAATTCCTGAGCAAAAAAAAAACCTAAGTTACTTGCAATCATTATTCCAAATGGAAAAATTAATTGTAAATAACTGGAAGTCAATTAAGGCTGGGTTCTGCTGGGTAATGCAAATCTTTTATAGTTTTGTTTCAGTTAACTGCCTCATTAATGATTTATAGATGTGTATACAGCTGTGGGAACCATAGCATTATCTAATGCACTCAGAGAATAATTACATATGAAAAGAACTACACTGCTCAAGGGAAAATCTCTGAAATTGCTTACTGCCTTAACTTCAACCATATTAAAATGCAAAGCATTTAGAAATAGGCTGTGATGTTTTATCATGTTTTTGAGTCATAAGGTTGCCAGTTTTTAAAAGGAAATTAGAAATTTTCCCCTATAAGAAAATGTTTGCATACTTCTCTAATACATGGTGTGCAAAACCATCAAGGTTTAACAAAGAAAGTAAGCAATTTAAGAGCCCAATTCATAAACATTCCCTTTGTTCATCTGTTATGTGAAAGAATGAGAAAGGTATGCAGTAAAACCTTTTATAAGGTATAAGCATACATACTTTTGATTTATGTGCCTCCACAGGTAATTTTGGAAAGAATGGAAGCCAGGAAATGCCCCCATGCCTGTAGTCATTTTTTGAAGACTATGTTCGTATACTGTCACATATTCTTTTTGTCCCAAGAATTTTTTCCATTTCTTACAGGACGCTAGATGAGGCAGTTGCACATTTTGTCTGTGATGTGTGTAGGCAGCAGCAGGGAACACCAGAAAAATTGCTGTGCCTGCAGGAACACGTGGACACTCTCTGTGCCTGATTTTCCTCTCACCCCAGTGGAGATCAAGGGGTGCTTTTCTGTTTGCAAAACTTATCATAGAACAGACAGACAGATACCACTGAGTTGCATGAAGGGTCTTGCTCCACATGGCCAACTAGAGATCTGAGTTCTACCCTCAGCTGTCTCAGTGACCTGCTGTGATCTTAGGCAATTACCGTACTCCTCCCGACCTCATTTTCCTCTTCTTCAAAATGGGGTGATGGTTTTTATCTTCATTTGTCAGTCATTTTGAGATCTCTGGATGAAGAATGCGACAGAATAGCTGGGCATTATTATTAGGGTAGTGAAGTCACAGGATTTAGAGTCAGACACAGATCTCTGGAGACCTGTACTCCTTGTCTTTTGTGGCATATATTACCTCTCTCAACTCTTCTGAATTGTGTATGCTCCCAATGAGTCCATCTCTGACTCCCTTCCTTTTAGCATAAAGAAGAGGATTTCACTAATGAGAAAATCTGAAACATAAGAGTATTGGATCTTAATTTTGCTTTTTGTGGATGTGCAAGAGAAAAAATAAATAATACAATATAAAGGCATAGGAAACCTAAATAGAGAAGCATCTTGTGCGAGGAAAAATACTGAAATACTTCAAAGTCTCACGAAAGCTCATGCTCAAATAAATTGGTTAGTCTCTAAGGTGCCACAAGTACTCCTTTTCTTTTTGCGAATACAGACTAACACGGCTGTTCCTCTGAAACCGTTCAAAGTACTCTGTATATTTTGTGTTGGGGGTAATTGTTTTGTTTGCAGAGCAATACCCCACTTTTCAGTGTGTGAAACCTGTTTCTCCAATGCACAGAAATGCATGAATGACTGGGAGTAACAATCAGATAAGGTGGCTAATGCTGGACAAGATCACCCAAGAAGATAAGGATGAAATGGGAATTAATTTTGTCCATGTGTGGCTGGGATTTTAAATTTAAAGTGAATGAGACCCACAATAAGATTTCCCTCAGTTATTTCAATACAAACATGGCACCTATTAAAACCAATTTGCTTATACTACAATAGCAGGCAGATAGAAAAGATGTATTAGCCATCTAACGCTAATTTTTACAGCTCCTCTTTTCCATTGGAAATGCCACAGCCTGTCAAAATTAAACCACAAGATCCATTATGTTAAATGGTAATGGTTACAACTTTTATTAATTAATGATATGATAACATATAATCAGCATAGAACATGTACCCCAATCAGAGCTGAACACACTGATTACTCTCAGAAAAATAAAATAATCAATGATGGACTCTAATCAGAATCATCAATGCAAATACTTACACATTTTGGAAAGGAATTAAAAATCCAGGCCTGAACCCAAACTTGAATTTAAAAATTAGGGTCTCTCTCCATAAGTTTCAGCCAGGACCACATATCTGACTTCCCCACCTCTCCAAAATAACTACACTAATTACCTCATCTGTGTTACTCCTGGTTGTCTCAGATTTCCAGTAGGATATCCCCAGAAATTCATAGCTGTAGGTACACCATTTCCAGGTGTGCTATAAAACAAACCATGCTGAGTTACTTATCCTGCAGTGTAAATGGATAGTAGGATGAGATGGAGTAGGTAGTATAGGTAGGTAGTAGGATGAGATGGCCTTGCAACACCTAACTTGCATGGCTCCCCTACTGGGCTCCAGCTGTCATCAGATCTCGTCTCCTGCTTCTGTGTCGGGAAGCACTTTGGGGAGACAGTCTCCACTGCTTCTATGGCAATAAGGAAAATACATTATGGTGATATTCATCAGAAGTGGGTTGGGTCTGTGTCCTTATGTCAGTGTTTTAGTGAAGACTGATAACTGGAAAATTTGAAATATTTATATATTTCAGTTACAGGGGATCCAAGAAAAAAATGAAATTTTAAGAAGAGAGGGATTTTATAGTGTTTAGAAAATAAAAACTGTTGGCAAACCTGGTGAAATAATTATCTAGATACTCAAATTGAACCTTTCAGATGGTTAAAAATATGGTAATATAATGTGAGTTCTACAGATTTATACAGTTTTAAGTGTAAAAGTAATAACACAACCTTAACTAAGAAGGTAATAGGGTATCTCCTTTACATGAAAATTGTATACACAAAATTGTACATATTGAAAAGGAGCACACTGCGTGTAGAAAACATATAAGCACTACATTAGCAGCATGACTTTGCAATCTGTAGGTTTTTAGGATTATGCCACTCAAAAACTTTTGTCAATATTAAACATTAAATTAAAGTAGGTGTGCACTGCGGGGCCATGTGCTATTTTCCCATTTAATTAAAATGCAAAAAGCATGGGTACTTTAAACTGCAACTCCGTCTTTCTTCAGTACTATGACACCAACAGCAGGCTACCCCTATGTAAGAATACAAGAAAATATAAAAGATAGATGCTACTTAACCTTTCACAGAATGAACATTCATCTCTAAACAAATTATCTGTAGTCTAATGCATGTTGAACATCATGTAATTACGTCTTTTAGTGCAGCAAGTCATAGATGTTCCTTTGATAGCTGCTATTATATAATGGGCGGGAGTTGAGAGTACTGCTGTGAAAAATTACTGATTTTCATCTTGAACACCAAAAGTGAAGCTTTTTTTTTCTATTTCACATATTGTTCTATTTTCTACCAGTGAATAGAGATTTTTGTGGCAAAAGTCAGCAAATTTCTGTCTCTCCTCTTGATCCTGAATTTTCATGAATTTTCTGATATGATTTTCACAAGGGAAAGGACCAATTTTGAAGGAACCGCCACCTTCCCCCCCGCGCAAGTTTTCAAGAAATTGTCATTTTCTATTGGCAGAAATGGCCTTTGACTTTGTGAAAATTTTAAGGAACAAAATGTTCATTTTTTTCCACACAAAACCTTAACTATGTAAGGTTTCCCCACCAACATATATCTTCAGGAGTCTACACTAGTGATCTGATGTGAAATTATATTGAAGTCAAAGGCGCAATCTATTGAGACATTTTGTTTCCAAAAAATGAAATGCTCCCCTTGTGCTCTGCCTCATTGAAAGGTACATCCTCAACCACGTTTTGAACCTTGTTGGGGTTCCCAAACAGTGTAACCACGATTTCCACTACATCACAATGGGAGTTGCCAGGGTTCTAGATATCCTATCAGCTGCATTGACTGTGGCTTGTAAATGGTTTTGGCCACTACTTTGCCCTCATTAATAAGGGCTTGAACTTGAGCCCTGTCATTCTGGGGCAATTCTAAGTTCAGGAATTTAGAATAGTTCAGGAAATCTTATTTGGTGAGAAGGGCCTGATAATCTGAGATCCTAAACTGAAGGCTAGTAGATGTAAAGACATTTCTCTGTGTATTGGCCCCTGGGCATGGTTGCCTGGATCTTTCTATGGTCACCTGGACCACCAAGGAGTTTGGGGCAGGGTGGGTTAACAAGAACCCTGTTCCCTTATTTGGGGCAATGGATCACTTCTCTCCCCTCTTAGGGACAGGGGCATAGGTAGCCAGTGTATATCACACAGCCCTTGCTTGTTTCGTATGGCTTTGTTTACCACTTGAGCAACCCAACTGAAGCCCGTAGGCTGCAGGTATCCGGGAGCTTATGTTGAGGGTCCTTGGCCTCCTCTGTGGAGATCTGCAGCTCTTCAGACTCTCTCCATAGCAGCTGCTGAATCTGTGCATGATTGTTCAGGGGAGATGGAGAGGCTGGAGTGATAACCGCATCAGGTGATGGAGAACTATACCCATGGGAACCAGCAGTACTGGCGGATCCAGCTCATCTTTCTTTCTTCTTCTGCGGGCTCAGAGAGTTCAGATTGACCCCTTGAAGGAGTGGAGTGCTAAGATTCTTTGTTGGAAGGGATTGATTCCAAGTTAACTTGCATACAGGTTCAAAAATCCCCAAATAAGGCTAGTATGAGGGGTTGAAACAAGGCTGTGGTGGTTCCCAAGGCATTGGGTACCACCAGTCCCAAGGGGGAAATTCCTTTCTGTATGGCCCAGGCTGTTTCCATTAAATTCTCAACTCTCCTTTCTGGGCTGAATTCCTTGAGAGAAGATGGTACCACCAGTACATCCAACTCTCCCAAAGATGAAAAGTTCTGATCTGAGTCTATTGGTGGTGCTGACAGACCCACTGAGCGGGAATCATGGCTAGTGGATGGGATGGGGATTGACTTTCTGGAGTCCTGGATTCCCACAGGTGTTTGTATCTCACTGGTGAGGAGCAGTCCCAATAACAAGGGAAATTGTGGGTCGGGGATGATGAAGATATGATCAGGAGAGGTTTAAATTGCTGGTACCTTCAGAGGACTGATACCACTGGAGAAGCTTTAGATGGTGACTCTTTACAGGGCTTGGTGAATGAGACTCAAACCTCACAGTCTTTGAAGGTATGGCAGTTCCTGGTCTTGGTGTTTTGTTTTAGGTGGCATCATAGTCAGTGCTGGAGTTGATGCAAAGGCTAGAACTGAAGTAGTCTTCATCCTATGAGTCTTTTGAACATGCCCATGCAAGTTAGGTGAACATAACTCCTCATGGCTTGGGTGTGAAGGCTCACTGGACTTCAATGGAGTAGGGAGGGATTTCTCCTTTTAGAAGATCTGTTTTTATGTTTGTGAGAGTGTCCTTTACTTTGATGAGAGAAAGGATCCTTCCTTCTGCCCTTCTCCATTCTGGAGTCAGACATAGAAGTAGGGGGTGCGCACCTTGCTGACTCTGGCTGATGTACGGGGTGAGATACGTGCCTCTCCAAGACTGTAGAGGCAGTGCCAGTGGTCATCACTGACCAGAAAGGAGCAAGAAATGCAGTTTTTGAAGCCTGGAATCCTGAGCATAATCTAAGTCCTGTGCCAGGAGACCAGGATGGTTCCCCAGGTTGGGGATTTTAACACTAACTAATTAGAATGATCAAAACATTAACAACTAAGAATAATATCAAAACTTTGAATATTTACAGGAAGAAGAGAAAGGAGAAGCTCCAGATGCTGGATGATTCTGACTCAGGCCATGCAGTGATAAGAAGGAACAGGAGAGGCAGGCAGACTGCCCCGCCCCTTATACCCTTGGTTCAGAAACTGAGGAAAACAGGTGTGCGGGTACAGACTAATGGACACTACTTGCAAGAATTCTTGTCTCAGGCATATGGAGCATATGCAAAGCCGACAATGCAATACACAGAGGGACCAGCACTTCAAGAAGAATCATTAAATATTCAGAAACATTTTCTCAGAATGAAAGCCACAAATATTTCCACTAAGCTTTCCTGAATGACAGAAAGAAATTTTTTATTATCATTTCATTAAATACCCATGAAGAACATGGTAGGGAAAAATATGGTGGCATAGCTGGCATACCATTTTCTAAACAGCAAAATCATACAGTAACATCTCTGATTTACTGTATTTTACCAGAAATTAACTGTAAATTGAATTAGAGTTGAATAAGTTCTGCATGCTGTTTTTAGCTATAAACCACATATTTTCATACATTATATCAAAGAATAAAAATAGAAACTCAAATCACTATGGTTTTAGTATGGAAAAGGCCTTACCAAATCAATATCCACAGTCTGTAAAAAGATCTTGTGTCAGATTTTTATGTTTCTCAGAGTTGCTTAATCAGAGGCAAAATATACAGAACAAATTAGACAATATTACTTCTTACTCTTTTTAGAAAAAGCATAAAAGACTGAATTACAAAGTAGGAGATACATAGACAATCCCAGCAAGTTGCAGTCTTGTAGAAGTTGAGAACCAGACTGTAATGGTGAGGAAATGCCCAATGTGTGGAAGGCATTATACTTCTAGAAAATATATAGAGCTGAGCTTGAAGGAGGTAGACTATGAGGCTGACCACAAATGAAGTTGGAAGATGTAATTCTGAGGGATTTGAAAAACCTAACCCTCCTACCCTTACTCTTTCCAAAAGAAGAAGACTTGCAAAGGATCATTCAAGATGGAAGTTCATTATATGCACTATCAGGCTGCATCATAGCCATGTGAATTTTCTTCTGTTGCTTCAACAAAGTAGGAGTAATATTTTACTGCAAATAACTTTACCAACTTAAAACACACCTCATGAAGACACAATAGCCATGCACAGCAGCTATGCCATTGAGCATTTTTCATTTATGAAGTTTGATGTTAAGGGTTTGTAAATCAGACATAAAAAGGGGACACAAGTCCCTAAAAGAAGTTCAAATTAATGGTGTGTTGGGGAGGGTGGGTGTGTGGCCTATCAGCTCCCAGCTCTCCTCTGGCTGGCCAACAAGAGGCGGAGAGCTGAGGGATTAGGAAAAGCCATTCTCCCTTCTTTCCAAGCTATTTATTACACTTCTGGCCCAATCAATATCCTCACCCTATGAGATGGGGGACATTTTCCCTTGATTAAGTTTGACATTAAGGGTGTGTAAATCAGATGTAAAATGCTATTCACACTAAACTGAAGTCTGACACTACAAAATTTCAGCCTGAATTTACCTTTACTAGTTTTAAACAGTAGTTATTGTCATATTACACAATTCTTAAGATAGGTTTCAGAGTAGCAGCCGTGTTAGTCTGTATTCCAAAAAAAAAAGGAGTACTTGTGGCACCTTAAAGACTAACCAATTTATTTGAGCATAAGCTTTTGTGAGCTACAGCTCACTTCATCAGATGCATCTTAAGATAGGCATTTTTAAAACTTGTGTAACTCATGCCTTTGATTATGTGGCCACAGGCTGTTGGCATTTTGGAACAAATTACAAAAAAATCACCACTGCACGATCATGGCTGAAACATTCAGATAAAAAAGTCTGTCAGCATACAGTAATTTAATGAACTGTAATGAAGTTATTATACTTAAACCAAATTTCTTCCAATCTGCCAAAGGCATTTGATTCTCAAGTCTAAAATTTTAAAAATAAGGCATTTTTGAGTTACCTAAATTTTACAATATGCCTAAAAAAATACTCATGACTAGTGAGTAACCCCCACTCATTCATGTTCACCAATCTCAGAATTGGAGGAGTGGGATGTTACCAAACTTTTAAAAAAAATCAAAAATCAAAATATTTCACCCTTGGTTTATGAATAAACACGACGACTTGACAAATGGTTAATTAAATCAGAAAATAGTGTGTTGGAAAGCTGGAGATTATCTGAACCAAAATCCAGATCTCAACACACAAACTTTGGCAGTCACTTTGAAAAGTAAACTCCAATCAGAAATTTTCTCAAAAGGCTATGATCAGTTTGTAACTTATTGAGGCCACTGATACGCAGCATCCTGCGCTGCTGGTTGCTCCTACTGCTGCAGCCAAAACTGCAGGAGTTTTCCAGCTGGATCACTGCATTCAATAAGAATGTTGACTCACGGAACATAGCTCCTGCTGGGCTAGGCTGTGCTTCCTGAACACCCTGGACAGACTTAGCCAGTGAGGTACGCAGGAGAGGTACCGTATAATTTCCACAGGTGACTTACCTAATGTATTCCATTCCAATGAACCAAGTCTGTACTTGGAACAGATGGTGAACGCAGCTTCAATAGTTTTGCAGGAAGCCGGAGCACAAAAATTCAGAGAATACAGTACTTCTACTGACAATCTGCTGAAAAATAAAAATTCTGTCAGACTATTGTATTTGTGGCTCCCAGACACAGTTAAACTCCAAGCGTAGCTGTTTTCAAGTTTTCTTATGATTCAAGTGGAGAAGTCTGCAAACCAGTTGCAAGTGCCCCTTTCAGTTATGTCTGCAATTCACAAGTGTCAACATTTTAGCAGAGAAAACAAAATATAAATCTGATGTAAGTTTAAAAAAAGAGAGTATCTAGGAAATGTCACACAAAGGACTGGAGTAGTCTGAATTTGCTAAAAGTCTCTACAAAAGGAACAGGAGTGGGGACTGAAAGGAGAAGTAGGCCATAGAAAAAGGAGAGGCAAGGAAAAAGTTGTGTGGAGTGAAAGTCTTTCCTGTCAAGCAATAAAACAGGGCACAAAGACAAAATGTTTTCAATTGCAATTTTTGCATGTACATATTGTCTCCAACTCCCTAGCCAGCATTTAAGTGCCCTGTGAAAAACACATGTAAAGACTAATATTAATCCTCAAATACACCCTAAGAGATAGTAAGTTAAATATTGCTACAGTTCACAAATTCTTCATACTGAAACTGCCAATGAATAAGGTACACTAGTCTTACCTCAGAAAAGAGTTTTCTTTGCTGAACTAAACTAAGTGCTCACCTAATCATAGAATCATAGAATCATAGAATATCAGGGTTGGAAGGGACCTCAGGAGGTCATTTAGTCCAACCCCCTGCTCAAAGCAGGACCGATCCCCGACTAAATCATCCCAGCCAGGGCTTTGTCAAGCCTGACCTTAAAAACTTCTAGGGAAGGAGATTCCACCACCTCCCTAGGTAACGCATTCCAGTGTTTCACCACCCTCCTAGTGAAAAAGTTTTTCCTAATATCCAACCTAAATCTCCCCCACTGCAACTTAAGACCATTACTCCTTGTTCTGTCATCTGCTAACACTGAGAACAGTTTAGAGCCATCCTCTTTGGAACCCCCTTTCAGGTAGTTGAAAGCAGCTATCAAATCCCCAATCATTCTTCTCTTCCGCAGACTAAACAATCCCAGTTCCCTCAGCCCTTCCTCATAAGTCATGTGTTCCAGACCCCTAATCATTTTTGTTGCCCTCCGCTAGACTCTTTCCAATTTTTCCACATCCTTCTTGTAGTGTGGGGCCCAAAACTGGACACAATACTCCAGATGAGGCCTCACCAATGTCGAATAGAGGGGAACGATTACGTCCCTCGATCTGCTGGCAATGCCCCTACTTATACATCCCAAAATGCCATTGGCCTTCTTGGCAACAAGGGCACACTGTTGACTCATATCCAACTTCTTGTCCACTGTAACCCCTAGGTCCTTTTCTGCAGAACTGCTGCCGAGCCATTCGGTCCCTAGTCTGTAGCGGTGCATGGGATTCTTCCGTCTAAAGTGCAGGACTCTGCACTTGTCCTTGTTGAACCTCATCAGATTTTTTTTGGCCCAATCCTCCAATTTGTCTAGGTCCCTCTGTATCCTGTCCCTACCCTCCAGTGTATCTACCACTCCTCCCAGTTTAGTGTCATCTGCAAACTTGCTGAGGGTTCAATCCACACCATCCTCCAGATCATTTATGAAGATACTGAACAAAACCGGCCCCAGGACCGACCCCTGGGGCACTCCACTTGATACCAGCTGCCAACTAGACATGGAGCCATTGATCACTACCCGTTGAGCCCGACAATCTAGCCAGCTTTCTATCCATCTTATAGTCCATTCATCCAGCCCATACTTCTTTAACTTGCTGGCAAGAATACTGTGGGAGACTGTGTCAAAAGCTTTGCTAAAGTCAAGGAACAACACGTCCACTGCATTCCCTTCATCCACAGAGCCAATTATCTCGTCATAGAAGGCAATTAGATTAATAAGGCATGACTTGCCCTTGGTGAATCCATGCTGACTGTTCCTGATCACTTTCCTCTCCTCTAAGTGCTTCAGAATTGATTCCTTGAGGACCTGCTGCATGATTTTTCCAGGGAAAAATTTTTTTTTCCAGGGACTGAGGTGAGGCTGACTGGCCTGTAGTTCCCAGGATCCTCCTTCTTCCCTTTTCTAAAGATGGACACTACATTAGCCTTTTTCCAGTCATCTGGGACCTCCCCCGATCGCCATGAGTTTTCAAAGATAATGGCCAATGGCTCTGCAATCACATCTGCCAACTCCTTTAGCACTCTCGGATGCAACGCATCCAGCCCCATGGACTTGTGCTCGTCCAGCTTTTCTAAATAGTCCCGAACCACTTCTTTCTCCACAGAGGGCTGGTCACCTCCTCTCCATGCTGTGCTGCCCGGTGCAGTAGTCTGGGAGCTGACCTGTTCGTGAAGACAGAGGCAAAAAAAGCATTGAGTACATTAGCTTTTTCCACATCCTCTGTCATGAGGTTGCCTCCCTCATTCAGTAAGGGGCCCACACTTTCCTTGACTTTCTTCTTGTTGCTAACATACCTGAAGAAACCCTTCTTGTTACTCTTAACATCTCTTGCTAGCTGCAACTCCAGGTGTGATTTGGCCTTCCTGATTTCACTCCTGCAAGCCCAAGCAATATTTTTATACTCATCCCTGGTCATTTGTCCAATCTTCCACTTCTTGGAAGCTTCTTTTTTGAATTTAAGAGCAGCAAGGATTTCACTGTTAAGCCAAGCTGGTCGCCTGCCATATTTACTATTCTTTCTACACATCGGGATGGTTTGTCCCTGTAACCTCAATAAGGATTCTTTAAAATACAGCCTGCTCTCCTGGGCTCCTTTCCCCCTCATGTTATTCTCCCAGGGGATCTTGCCCATCATTTCCCTGAGGGAGTCAAAGTCTGCTTTGCTGAAGTCCAGGGTCTGTATTCTGCTGCTCTCCCTTCTTCCTTGGGTTAGGATCCTGAACTCGACCATTTCATGGTCACTGCCTCCCAGGTTCCCATCCACTTTTGCTTCCCCACTTTTTGCTAATCTCTGTCCCCATCTCAGTACATGTTCACACAACCCTGCACCTTGATGAACTTTAAATATGACCAGCACTTCAAGTTGAGTGCTGGAGATTTCTGATTGCATTTGTACAACTTGAAATCCACAAATATTGTAACATCAGCAGTGGAGGTTTTAAGCTATGCAGTGACTACCACTACTTGTGATCTTACATATTGTAGTAGGTTCTGAAAAAAGCAATTTCCCTTTAACGATGCTGCAGAAACATCTTTTCAGTGCTGCTAATATATGTACAGACGGTGTAACAGAGAGAGGCATAATTAGTTAAATAGCAGCAACAACAGTGTATTTGTCAGCAGTAAGCATTTGGTAATATCTGATTTTTAAGTTACTGCTTGAGCCATGTAAATCTCGTATCTGGTTCTTAAGTGGAAAATTAAAAGAACAAAGTATATAGGAACAGACATTAATACAAGGTACAGAAGAAGGCATACAGCTGGGCAAGGCACACGTATTCCTTTGGCTGTTTTAACAACTTTTTTTCCTCCAAAACAACTATCATTTCTCAGAAATTTTGCCAACTCAAAATTTGCAAATATTGTCTGAAAAATATCATGCTGAAGATTTTGGACAGTATTATAAACTAGCTTGTTTTATACTTGCCCTCTCCACATTCAAGTTCTTCCTCAAAACACACTTCTATCTCACTACCTATCGAGGACTGTATACTATACAGGGGGCCTTGGTTATGCTGATTAGGAATCAAAAGGTATAAATCATTTAATGTGCCTATAGCCGTGTTGATACCCAACCAATACATGTGCCTAGTATACACATAACATTGATTTGACTGTGAAATTTGTGTTTTACTTAGAGGGAAAGTGCTGTAGGGCAAGGACTTCTGTGTTCTGTACAGTACTGAGAATACTGTTGACCTTTAAAAAGTAACAAATAAAATAATAATGACAACAGTAAAGCTGTACTAATATGTACGACATCTGGTATACATCTTAGGTAGATTTATAGGAACAGATTAAAAATATGCCTATTATGAAAATTTATCTTCTCTTCAGTATGAGGGAATGTGGGTTTTCCCAAAAAACTATTTATATATGTACTGATAGGTCTCCCATCACCACAGTATCTGAGCACCTCAAAAGCATTAATTTATTTTCACAAAAACCCTGTTGGATATGGACATTTTATTAAGTATCATTATTTGTACAGATGGGGAACAGAAGAACCAAAACACTAAGTGACTTTTTCAGGCTCACACAGGAGACCCTATGGCAGAGCTAGGAACTGAACCAAGGTCTCTCTCCAAAATTTCAGTCCAATGCCTTTGCTGAAAACTAATACTTATGGACTATTTTGCATAAGCATGAAGTTGAGTCCATGTATGTGAGAACAATTTTGGTCCCTTAATGTCACTCATCCTCCACCAACAAAATACATAAATAAAATTACATGCTTCTGCATATGAAGAAAACATGGTCAAGACAAGAAAAACAGATGCAACAGAAAGGCGTTGATTTTGTTCAGCTTCACTTGACTTGTAATAATTTTACTATATTGTTAAAACTCTAAATGTCAATGAAGAAATAACACGAAGCGATACTAAACCCAAACTGATACCTGACTAAACAGTCTTTAGAATCTGAATTCAAATAACTGGAGTTTACAAAATGTAACAAACCACTGGTACATATAGATTGCAATTTATTGTATGCTCAGCTTTTAGATAGCCAGCCCAAGACACACCAAGTACACATTAACTAGATCTGACTTCTAATGTGTTCCCCAAGCTCTCCTGCATGCAATAGTTTGGAATTTACTTTAGAGAGCTTAATCCTGTAATGAAGAGTCTGAAAGTTCTCTAGGTACACTCGGGTATAGGCTTTCTCTAGGCACATGGGCTGCCATATAAGACAGCAAATGTGGAGCAGGAGGGTAGGATGGGGAAACAGTTATGTTTAGAATTTGCTTCATTGTTTTAGCATTTAACTTGGGGTTACATTATTATAACAGCTTACTAGGAAATAATTACACCAGGTTCTCTCTCGATGCAAGTAAA